CAATATTTAAACACACGTGTACGTACGTGATGTTTTAGATTTATGTTTACAATAAATCTGAAAAGAAAATCAGCAAGCATCATCTTTCGTTACTAAATTAGTATAAATTGGAAAGCTGAATGAAATACATGTTAAACTTCGTGTTTCTAAATGCAGAAGTTTTATCGATTGTCAAATGATGTACACGTTTATATTTCTATTTGAGCCTAAGCCTAACGAAGTGGAACTCTTGTTTGCTAAGCGTTTAATATTGCAATACGACTGACGTATATATATATTTAGAACCTACTTACTTGCTTCTTGTTTCTCATACAAGTTTGAAATCGTAGTATAAAGTATTTTTAGCAGTATCAATACGCTAGAACCCAGGAAACATTGATGGAGATATCGACATAATTATTTGATAGAGCTTCTCTCGAGTCGTCTTGTATTGCGTTAAAAAGTACATATTTTTATTGTAAATACAATATTTTTAGTTGCAATTCAGATAAAAGTTAACAGTTGTTAGCAATATTGAAAAACGTCATAAGGCTAAGTGAAATTATCCTTCAGATGGTCAACATTATAACAGAATTTAACGTTACATCTGTCTACATGCTTATCCATCCACCCTGCTAACCAACTGAACCCATTTATTACTGTAAGGACCCAAATAAATGATCGTGGCCTTGTGTAAACCAGGACAAGAGACTTAAACACACCTATATAATGTATTGCCATCTTTCGGAAGCTAAGCAAACTATTTTTGTTGTCTAAGACAAGACGGATACTACCGTGCTATTACGATTGTTTAAATATTTTATTCATATTTCAGTTTCTGACATACTTTTACTTTAAATAGCTCGCTATTACAGTAATATTTTATATTTGTAAGTTTAAGTCGAAAAAAGCTTCTAGTTTGAGAGTAATGTACATTCAAAAATACATTAGTTATACGATACGGGTCTTTGACAGACAAATTATTTCAAATGTGTTTAGTTTTGCTTCATTGTTTATTCTTCGTGAAGGAATGGGTTATCACGTTGTTATTTACTTATTTATTGTTAGATTTCTAGAATGGTTTATTCATTGTTGACGTGACGATCAATCATTTCTCTTGTTTCTCCGAGTTGTCCTGGTTATGACAGTATTATTGTTGTTGTTTGAAGTTAAGCACAAAGCTACACAATTGGTTATGACAGTAGTAAC